AGGATTTCCAGCATCATTTTGAGATTGTGGTAGGAAGAAAGAAAGTACAGTGGGAAAAGACGCTCAAGAAAACACCAAAGTCAGTGGAGTTCGATAGCCCCTCCTCTTTCTCTTTCCGTACTTTGTTGTGTAATGTGGGGTGTTATTTTATTCCTTTCTAAGCAAGTGTCAAGCCAGAGATCAAGCGCACAGCTGAGATGCCTGACAGCGGGGTGGGAGGCATCATGTCAAGTCAAAGATGTAGCTGCTACTTAGATGAAAGACAACTTGGTTCTTCAAAATAACAAGAATAAGTGTAGAGTGGTCACAGGGCAGAGGGTTCTTTAGCAAAAGCAGTCTTCATAATAAGCTTTAGAAATCAACACTACAGAAAGAAGAATCATTCCTGCCCCTACTTCTCTGGCTTATCAGTGACTCATAGGTGTTGATATGGGAAGGGTGGTGGTTATGGCCTAGTGTCATCCAGGCAATCTCTCAGGGTCACAAGCTTTACTGCCTTCCAGAGCACTTCACAGTCTCATAGGCTGTCCCTGACATGATAGAAAGGAAGAGGGTGCTACTGCTTCTTACATGTTCATCCCACTTCAGGACTGTAAGGTTGGACAATCTAAGCCACATGGCTTAGACTGTGACATAGCTGCTCACCACACGGGGATTTCCATTCCAAGAAATTATCTAGGGTCACAATGATGTTCACTCTATGACAAACCCTTTTTGTATGGTATACCTCTTCCCAGAGCCATGTATGGAAGTCACGTGACATAACTCTAGATAAGTCGCCAACTCATCCTGAGATTCTGGATGAGTATATGGAAATAATCCTTCATACGGTTGGGTTCAAACATCACAAAAAACTTTTTAAAGGGAATTAGAGAAATTCCTGGAGCCTAAAACTGCTATGGGCTATTATGGCATTTATTGTCTCTGAAAGACTATAGCTAGGAGGCCATCTCTGTGCTTGAAGGCTTCCTAGATGATTTGGTTTGCCAATAGGCTGGTTGCTAGTCTGATTGTAAGGAGCCAGGGATATTACCTTGGAAAAGGAATCCAGAGGTCCTTAGGAAAGCATTCGGTGTAGAAGAAATGTGTTATGTCCAGAGAGACAGGAGAGTTAGCACCACAGGGACAGAGGCGTTGTTCAACAGGGCAATTACAAACACAAGGAGTATGAATTCAATTGATTCTTCTCCACAATGGTACATTCTTAGTATCTCTGCAAACCTGTACAGTTCGGTTTGCTGAACATGACTTTTTTTTTCCAAGTACACACTAAAATTTGTATGTAATTTGCTGCACATTTCTCCAAAGAGGTACATGTTTGTTTGCATTCTGCCTGGTGTACATAGTTTTTGCCAACATGTTTTTTATAATGTAATGCACTTTCTAAATCATGCATGCAAATACAAACGGTGCTTTTGATTTGTAGGGTTGCAATCCAGCACAAGGCTGCAGATGACAAAATTGCGAACAAGACCTTGGGGGGTTAGATTCCAGAGCCCATTGCCACCCTCTTCTTACCACCAGTATCTGACCTTACTCTCTTAGTGGTGATCCATGAAAGCTACCTGTATCTGTTACTCCTTCTCCTCACTTTTTCATAGTGGATTTTGTGAGTTGTAAGACTCCATTTAGCTCCCTTGCAGTAGCCTGCCATAGTCTTCTTCACAATGTCTTACTTGGAGTGAGCTACCATACTGGAAACAGTTTGCTCATGTTGATTTCTCTGCCACGCACAGCTCTTTCACAATCTTGGTGGAGGTCCTCTCAATCACACTGCTTGATGCTAGTGCTCACCATGGACCACTCATGACAATCCGAGTAAGCCATGAGCAGCTACAAGTAGCAGAATCAAGAGGATCCTCAACTGAGAATGTGAAACAGCCAAGTGCCACAGAGAAGCCATCCTGAGCTGCGTGGCACGTGCAGAGTGACCTCCTCCCACTCTAGCTGACAAGTTGTTCCAAGAAGAAGGCAGCTGGCCACTCTGAGGAAGCCACAGAGAGAACTGTGGTTGGGCTGACCCAGTGAGATCCATCACAACTAAGCGAGGAGAAAGAGGAGGAAAGTCAGGTACACTCTACAAATACTAAGCCCTAACCCTTAACATTGTGCTTCACATGTTCAGTCAAAGCTCCTCCACTATTTTGGGCATACCGAAAGTAATAAAACACAAAGCCAAAACTGCAGATATACAAAATCCTTTTTGTGTATCCCAAGGTCTGGCTTATCAGTTGCAGATAGACAAAAGCACAAGTAACCAGGCCCCTTGAATATGCACTGTAGTTTTTCTCCAATGTACCTTTCTAATCTGACGAACAAAATTCAGGGAAACACATATTTCAATGTTCTAAATTTCAGGGCCTGAACTGGTTCAAATCTCCAAGGTTTATGAAGGATCCACTCTGAAATACTGAAAATCTGCTGCCAGTCAAACTAGATAAACATGACCCAGATGACAGATCTTGGTTCTTTGTGAGTTTTAATAGAGAATTGCTACCCTGATCTGGTTCTTTGGTCCACACAAGCAGCAGCAAGTGATGTGCAAGGACTGCTGCCAATGTAGCATCTGTGGATTAGACCAATCTAGCTTGGACCCTGAGTTCAAAGTATTTAGTAGTTCCAAAAGATTAAGAACGGTGTTGTACAAACGTTGATTGTGGAAGACAGTTTCGGCCTCTTCAGGTGGGCAGAGTGTTAGCTCTGGGGCCACCTGACTCACACAGCATTGTTATTCCTGCTGTCAGCCTGCATAAATGGAAGACAATATCTTCATCTGTT